GTTTGCAGCTCAAAGGGAATTAAAGTAGGTTCTGGACTTAGAAGCCATTCAGGAGTTATCCATGAAGAAGACCAGCACCAGAAGGGTTTCCCCAAACCACCAGTAATCTGGGAACTCAGGGCATCTGAACATTTGTCAGGATGAAATCTTACAAAATCTTGTCAGACACGGCAGGTAAAATTTGGAAAGATTTTCTTGAGGGTTTGTCTACAGGGCCTGGGAATCAATGTGCCTGAATAGAACAACTGTCCATCCATTTAATATAACTTAATATTAATATTACCAGATTTTCAAATTTCAAGCTTAGACTGTATGTTAGAAGCCATATATACACTGGATTGCCTAGCTAGCATTCGATAAGCTAGAATGACCTGAAGCCTTCATTAAGTTTATTAACTACTCACATCATTGATACTCACATGTAATTTGACTATAAATTAATGAAGTTGCACTAACTTTAATCTAGGAATAAGCAACTTGCCACTATGGCCATAGGCAAAAAATTATGGGAATTCTATATTAGAGAATCTGGAGGGTATTAAATAGTCTTCCCCTTGTTAGAATTCCTTCAACTCTTGTTAAAAATATTACATAGCCAGGATTGCTTATTTGTTTTATAAGTGGGATAGAGTCTTCTCTGAGGCATTAATTTCCTTTGTTAATTTATCTCAATGATTCATTGTACTAATTCAAATAATTGTTTTATAGCTCTTGCTGACATCCAGGAGCGTCAAGGTAAGAGAAGACATAATATATGCATATGGGCTAAGGGCTGAATTCAGGGATAAGAAGGAATAAGCGTATAATCTCAGTATTCACTGTGGCAGTCAATTTTATAGATATTGAAGAATTCATTTTCTTAATTTATTTCAAGTTTAGTTCAAACAGCTCAAGTCTATAGTTATATATAAAACACCACAACTTTATCCTGTACTCCTTTTTAAAGTATAACTAATTTTAATACCTTTCTATTCCAGAACGACTGCAAAGTGAATTAGGTAAGCTAGAATACTTTTGATAAAACATTTAAAAGACAATTATTGATTTCTAT